GGCCTACAGTTTTCAAACCGGAAACAACAAAATAGAACTGCTTACGTGCCACGAAAGGCGCGCATGTTGAAGTTGTTTAGAATTCTGCAGTACTGATTATACAGGTAATAAAACGTCTCATGAGTTACATTTTCATATTCCCTAAGCAGTTTTATTATGTTGTTTCCGGTTTGAAAATTATAGGCCACGGAAACCCCGACAAGAATTTAGAATCACCATATAGCTTCATGTAGTGGTCCTTCCTTTAATTGGGTGGAAGTCCCATTTCCTTTTCTTTTAACTCCCGTTTAGATTCATCACTTGTGTTTGTGATGTCACTTATTTACTCCTACAGCTAGTTTGTAAGCAGTATACTGTACTGTACAACAAGTGTACTGAACATGAAATGTATGTTCCTTTCGTCTCCACAACTTTCGTCTGGAATATTCGTCGCTCGGTTAAGTATGTAGTGAGTTACTCTTGAGATACATGCAAAACCGCATGCATGTGTGTCGTGGTGTAATGCATCCGTTGTTACTGTCCAATCTTAGCCAAACTTCAGGCATGCTTACATGTGTGACTAAAACTTCTCACTATGAATTTTCACGAAAGTCCGTTGAGTAGTTCTTGAATTACTGCATACAGACGGATGGACAGGCACGACGAAGCGAATAGGCACAGGTTTGTAGCCTCCATTTATTTTTTATTTACATCCAGAGATGGAAAAGATTTTTTTCTGAAAATCGTAGCCCCGCCACCGAAAAAAAAATTTGCTTAGACTTACGCAGAAATGCCAATAATTGCTATTACAGTAAGAATACGGTATAATGACAAAGGTTTTATGATGATACACATTGTGGCACTTCTTTTATTACTTCAGTTGAACAAAAAGTGTCCCGGTCACCGTAGCCGAGCGGTCTAAGACATGTACTGTCTTCGCTCGCTCGGAAGCCGGGATCTTGGTTCGAATTCCACACAAGGCATGGATGTTTGGTATGTTTATGTGTTAATTCTGTGTTTGTGTTGTCCCGTGTTTAGGTAGAGACCTTGCGACGAACTGATCACTCGTTCAAGGAGTCCTACCGTCTGTAAAATGATCATGAAACTGAAAATCAGAGGCCAGGGTACAAGGGGGCTGTAGGCCCAGTGAAAAGAAAAGCAAGAAGTGTAACTGCTTTGTGAGAGTCGAGACTCCAGCCATACTGATAGACAGAGTGCTTACTTCAAGGACACACTCTGCACGACCCTACACTACGTCAGCACGTTGCACCATATCAAGCAGTCCTCAAGGACACACGTTACTGTACACAGCACAACGATCCCAAAGACACGTGCTGTATTAGAATAATTACCCTGGTACACTCACAAAACAAGGAGACCCTAAAAAGGTTCCAGATATTCAGAATCAGCTGACAACATAAAGCTGTGGTCTGGCTTACAGTGACCAGGGTAGCGTGTAGTGGAAGAACATATAGCATGAAAGTGTGGAGTAAGGTAAAGATAAGGTAAACTTGACCCTGTGCTTAACTATGCCATGAGGGCGTATGGGAGAGTGGATCTATACATCCACATTTTCTTAACCTCGGTACTAGTTGGAGGTGAGTGGTCAGCTTCATGCCCCGGCCGCTTTACCTCCGGGGAAAGAGCCCACGGTACCCCCTAGATAGGAGGTATGGTGGACCCCAGAGCCGGTCTGGACGTGGAGAAGTGAAAATTCTTATCCCCACCGAGAATCGAACTCCTACCACTCGGTCGTCCAGCCCGTAGACAGCCACTATACCGACTGAGCTATCCCGGCTCCCCTATGAAAGTGTGGAGTGCCTAAGTTAATTAGGCTCGGCCTAGATGGACTTTTGAAGTAACAAATAGCTCAGAAACGGCAGTGAAAATTTGTGTTGAGACGGTGCACTAAGTTTTATGCTTATATCCGTTTAAACTAAATTGTATCCTACCTAATTCACAATTTTCTTTACATTTATTTTTCCCCCTATATTTTGACACAATTTACACATACAATATTGTGACATGTTGACCCCTACCTCCCCAGCGGCACGTAGCGGTAACGTAGCGCTCGCGTAATAGGCGAGTCGTCACCCAGCAACTCTCCCCGCGGTGACAATATTTCAGCTGGTTTGTGTATAACACCTAATGATGACCTTTAAGGGTCGAAACGTTTTGTGCATAGTTATAAATAAAGAACAAGAATGTTTCGTAACGTAGTTTCGTGTGACTAATAATGTTATGCCGTGTAGAGTGTAGTATAGCCAAGTCTATAGCATTTTTTCTATTTATCTTTAAATTTAATTATAGAAAACTGCCATAAATTCTACAAAATTAATTAAGAACTAAAGAACATGCTTGAATGTACAAAAGAAAATATACGGCAACTTCGCTCCTGATTGTGACTGGAGCAGTGGGCATCTGGGAAGGAAGGAAAGTCCAAATTCTTGCTGAGCCTGTATACTGCTGTCAAATTGTCATTTAACATGCCGTAACATACTTTTTGTTTGCAGGAAAGATACCTTATATTGTTTTATATTTACGGCAACAAATATAGAATCACTTTTATCCAACCATATTGGACAAATTACACACTGTGGTCCATCTGGCTGTATAGGCCTAACGTTATATGCGTGAGATGACGCCCAAGTATACAAATTATACTTTTTCTCTAGCCATTAATATCCCAGCAGTGTCATTTGGTACGTAGCTGACTGCCTTCTTCCATGCAAGTGATTGTATCATTCATGGAAATGAGCCCTTCTTGAGAAGCCTCCAATTGTGCAGCTACTCAAGAACTTCCCATCTTTTTATGGAACCCGAAGTTCGCGAGAACCCTCCACTGGTCGCTATCCTGAGCCAGATCGATCTAGTCCATACCATCCCATTCTGTCTCTCTAAGATTCATTTTAATATTATCCACCCAACTATGTCTTGGTCTTCCTAGTGAACTCCTTTCTTCTGACTTTCCCACCAATATCCTATATGCATTCCTCTTCTCTATCATTCTTTCTACATACCCTGTTCATCTTATCCTCCTTGGCATGATCAATTTAGTTATACTCAATTGATTCTATAATACGAGTATTAACATTTATCCAGTCTTCTGTAAAACGCTAATATTGATGCGCTAAAAACTGTGCACGTGATGTGTTTTAGATTTTCTCTTTCTGCCTTTCCTGCTTGCGTTCTTTGTTTCTCCTTTTCTATTTCTTTCTTTTTTCCTTTCTTCCCTTTCGAGCTTTCCGCTTCAGCGTGGTAACAGTTACAGCATCAGGGCTCGTTATCACGCGTAATATTGGTTCAAATGGGGACAGGCGTGCGCAATTGGTCGAGGCGCTGTGTTACACTCAGGAAGGTCGCGGGCTCGATTCCCGATGAGGTCACTGGATTTTTCAATTCACTTAATCCTTCTAGCCGCACTATGGCCTGGGGTCGACTCAGCCTCTAACAGAAATGAGTACCAGGAATCTTCCTAGGGGTAAAGGGCGGCCGGCGCGTAAGGCTGACAGTGTAACCGTCTTCTGTGAGCCGACTGTCTAGAAAATGTGGGAGCCTCGACGTCTCACAACCCTATGGGCCTCCACGGCCTGATACAGGGATACCTTAATATATATACCTATGTATATATATTATTTTTATTATTATTTTCTCACTGCGGTGACTATGAAGATTAAGATCTTCTCGGTTATGACGCCAACGTTTCGCAGGAACATATCGTCTCTCTCTTCAGGGTCGAAGAGTAAGCCAAGCAAGCACTAGCAGAAGCAGGCGGAAAGCTGAGCGAATCGCGGAGCATTGCAGGGTAACAGTGTGCTGCCGGCCTCCGAGTCAGCTGGCTCATTCGCTGTTTCAAGCCCAGTTAGGACTCACGATTGAACTTGGTTCACTCTCGCCTCCTATTTGACAAAAAGAGGGGTTTGTCGTTTAGGTCAGTGCTAATTTTTCCGCACAGTAACTGTTAAAAAGGGCCGCGCCATAGCTCAAGCGGTTAGTCGCTGGCTTCCCACCGCGGCGGCCCGGGTTCGATCCCGGTCTGGTCAAGTGGGATTTGTGGTGAACAAAGTGGCGCTGGGGCAGGTTTTCTCCGAATACTTCGGTTTCCCCTGCAAATCTTCATTCCACCAATTGCTCCACAATCACCCTCACCTATCATCTGGCGCTGGTACAATAGGCCAGAAGTGGTCGCAGTACAAGGGACTTAGTCCCACGCCACTAGCATTAAAAAACTGTTAAAAGGAATTGTTGCTGCACTCCTAGAGCTTCCTGGCATAGTCTCATATGCACTGAAAGAGGTTATTGCTTCTCTAGCAATGCATGCACTTATCTTTACAATCTGACGTATTTACAAGGGCAGCCTTCCACAGCAAATTACTCCCGAATACATGAACCCCAGTTCTAACGTCAGGTAGACATTTGAACGGTCGCAGGCCCGATCGCCGCCAAGTGTAGTTCTTTTATATCCTCTGCATATGGCTTCTCCTTGTTGGAGTGCACATTCGTTTAAATTCTGGCCATTTTAGACGGCTTTTATCTGTACTCCTCATTATTTATTTATGCAATGGTAGCCACAATGAGTAGTCAGTTGCACATTTATTATGCAGCCTTACAGAAGAGTTCGCTCCTTTTCAAGTAAGGCACCTCTGAAATTACAGAGGATAACATTATGTATCCTTTATTTTCATATAAGTAATTTGAAGAGAATGAATGTTAACGTGCCATTTGTAATTAAGCGCCTGTTTGGTGTACAGTCTTGTCTTTATGGTGTTAAGGAAGGTCAGTGAAAGAAATGCTTCCCATTATGTCTTCATAATGAAAGGCAACTGTGAGTATGTGATTATCTGTAACTTACTATGGAAATATTCTAACAGAGGGGGCATGAAACCCGCCTTAAAAGTGCGAATAATAGAAGACTTAAAAGATTGATTTTATTGTCATGATGATGTCAGTAGTTCAGACTTTATAGAGTCGAATGAATAANTAATAAAAGACTTATAAGATTTATTTTATTGTCATGTATGAGTAAAATATATTATTTCTGATTTATTTAACGATGATGTCAGTAGTTCAGACTATATAGAGTCGAATGAATACAATATATTACTACAAGTGTACTGATATGCAGCCACACCAGAAGTCTCTTAAAGTTTCCTGACCCGATTGACTTTGAAGAACTTCTGGAAGAAATGTAATTTCCGCATTTGGGGAAGTGTTGAGGTACAGCAGGAATGTCTGCTCTGTCTCCAACTTGAAACAACATGAACATCCCTGTCTCATGGTGGTTCAGGATGTGGCAGTGAAACATCCAGTAACCTGAAACACATTTTGATTTAGTGTTCTTAAGATAATTAGTAATGATAATGGAGTTAGAGTTGTAAACTTTGCCACATTAAAAAGTCTTACTGTCAAAAGTACAATGTTCCCATCATAACATCCATAAATTTACTTCCTCCTGATGGGAAGATACACAATCAAATAGACCATATTTTGTTAGATAGGAGACGGCACTCAAGTATACCTGATGTCCGATCATTCAGGGCAGCAGATTGTGATACTGACCACTACCTGGTGGTGGCAAAGGTTAAGGAAAGACGGGGAGTGAGCAAACAAACAACAAACAGTGGTCATATGGAGAGGTTCAGTCTCAAGAAATTAAATGAGGTAGAGGGTAAAGAGCAGTATTGTGTTGAAATCTCAAATGGGTTCATGGCTTTGGAAAACTTGGAAACTGAGGTGGATGTTAATAAAGCTTGGGAAGCTATTAGAGAGAATATAAAAATGTCTGCCAAAGAGAGTCTAGGTTATTATGAACCGAAGAAGCATAAGCCATGGTTCGATGAAGGATGCTCAAAATTATTAGATCAAAGAAAGCAGCCCAAATTGCAATGGTTACAGGATCCAAGCCAGTTAAATGGGGATAATTTGAACAATATAAGACGTGAGACCAGCAGGCATTTCAGGAACAAAAGAGGGAATATCTGAAAGACAAAATTGATGAGCTTGCAATGAACAGTAAGAACAAGAACATTAGAGACCTGTATAAAGGAATAAATGAGTTTAAGAGGGGTTACCAGGCTAGCAGTAACTTAGTGAAGGATGAGAATGTTGATCTGCTTGCAGATTCCCACAACATTTTGAATAGGTGGAGGAACGACTTCTCTCAGTTTTTGAATGTACATAGGGTCGGTGCTGTTAGGCAGACAGAAATCCATACAGCTGAGCCGTTAATATCTGATCCTAGCCCTTTTGAGGGTGAAAGTGCTATTGCAAAATTGAAACGGTATAAATCGCCAGGTAGTGATCAAATTCCGGCAGAACTTATTCGAGCAGGAGGTGAAATATTACGTTCCAAGATCCACAATCTAATTACGTCTATTTGGCATAAGGAAAAATTGTCTGATCAGTGGAAGGAGTCTATTATTGTACCAGTTCACAAAAAAGGGTCATATAACTGACTGTAGATATTATCGGGGGATATCACTGCTGTCAACTTCATATAAAATTTTGTCCAATATTCTTCTTTCAAGGTTAAGTCCATATATATATGAAATTATTGGGGATCATCAGTGTGGGTTTCGACGTAACAGACCAACTACAGATCAGATCTTTTGCATTCGTCAGATATTGGAGAAAAAATGGGAGTACGATGAGACAGTACATCAGCTATTCATAGACTTCAAGAAAGCCTATGATTCAGTTAGGAGGGAAGTATTGTACAATATTCTAATAGAGTTTGGGATACCCATGAAACTAGTTAGGTTGATTAAAATGTGTTTAACATAGACTGAGGGTGTCTGAGAACAGGGTTGAGGAGAATATTTGGACCGAAGAGAGATGAAGTGACAGGAGGCTGGAGAAAACTGCATAATGAGGAGCTTCATAACTTGTACTCTTCTCCAAGTATAATTAGAATGATCAAGTCAAGGAGAATGAGGTGGGCAGGTCATGTAGCACGAATGGGGAAGACGTGTAATGCGTATAGGATATTGGTGGGAAAGCCAGAAGGAAAGAGACCACATGGAAGACCAAGGCGTAGGTGGATGGACAATATTAAGATGGATCTTAGAGAGATAGGATGGGACGGTATGGATTGGATATGTATGGCTCAGGATAGGGACCTGTGGAGGGCTCTTGTGAACATTGTCATGAACCTTCGGGTTCCATAAAATGCTGGGAAATTCTTGAGTAGCTGCAGAATTGGCGGCTCCTCCAGAAGGGCTCAGCTCCATGAGTAAATAAGTAAGTAAGTTCTTAAGATGTGATAAACATCCAGTAATCTGAAACACATTCTGATGTAGTGTTCTATAGATGTGATTGTTAAACATCCAGCAATCTGAAACACATTTTGATGTAGCGTTCTTACGATGCGATAGTTAAACATTCAGTAACCAGAAACACATTTTGACGTAGTGTTCTTAAGATGTTAAACATCCAGTAACCTGAAACACATTTTGGTGCAGTATTCTTAAGATATGATGGTTAAAACATCCAGTAACGTAAAACACATAAAGTTGTCCCTGTCCGTAACAAATTAATCATTATTCCTCACTTCCGGGAACCGAATTCGGGCTGTCTTGTCCGTTGCTATCCCAACCCCTAACCTAAAACACATTTCGATGTAAACTGTGATGTGACACAGGACTTTCAGCAACCTAAACAGATTTTACATTTGTGTTCTCAGGTGTGCCATTGAAGTGTAGTTGGGATGGTGGTGGAACAGCCAGTAATATTTCTCGTAGACGAGGCGCTGAAACGTGCAGTAGCCATACAGTATCCTGACACACACTTCGTGATAAAGCTTTCAAGATTTGGCAATGAAATACGTTTCAGGATACCTTCCTCAGGATCATTACGTCGCCTTACCTGGATTGTCCGCCTTGAACCTAAGAATGGCGTATCCCTGACTGGGCACTCCGAGTGTGTCCACAACTGGCGGGATGTGGGACTGACTAAAATTGCGGGCCCGAAATTCCTCCAACACAGTATCCAAATTCGATCCATTCTGGAAGATTCCCATAGCCAGAACGGCGAACGAATAACCGTGTAAATGGAACGCGTGGTTCACGCTTCCATGTACAGCTGAAATCATGAAGCAGCTGATGTAATGTTGCCAACTGTATCCCCATGTGGTCCTAATTTACAGTGATCGCAGGTAAACATTAATTTCCAGAGTCCGCCTTCTGGACTGTGGACTGCAAGGCATTCGTAATCACATCTGTGGGAAACTTAAAATTCTAAACATTAATTTCATCCTCTGATCCATCTTGTAGTTCTTTGCAATGAAATATTTTGACACAGAAATACTTTAAAATTTCATAGTTTTGAGCGACATATACAGATCAATTTTTGACAAATAGAATCCGTGAAACGCTTTGCTTGACTTCAGTTTCTTAATCCTAAGACAGTCAGTAGGACTCCTTGAACGAGGGATCAGCCCATCGGAAAGCCGCTATCTACACAGGACAACACAAACACAGAATAAACGCAGACAGACATGCATACCCTGAGTGGGATTCGAACCCACGGTCCCAGTGTTTGAGCGGCCGAAGACAGTTCATATCCTAGACTGCGCGGACACCGCGATCGTTTTCTTATTGTTTCAATTAACATTTCAGACCCCAAGGCATTAGAAAGAATAGGTTTCCAGAGAGAGATTTTCCGGTTTATATGTTACATGTACCTTGTATATTAAAAATGGTATAAATATTTCTTATCTCTTTCATTTTCTGAAACTTGTACTGCACCCTTGTCAATGAGTCATTGCACAATGACATTTAAATGTATAGTTTCATGAAGTAAATAGTGTATTTCCTTCTTACTGTGTTAAATATTCACAAAGTAGAAATAAATTTAAAAAACTAGTTATATATCTTATCGATATCCTTATTTTATGTTAAGTGCCGCTATATTTGATTTGATAAAACTGACAAAATATGATTTAAATTTCGCGTAATGATGGTTTCGTCAGTATGGTTATTCTCGCCTATGCATTTCATGTAAAGTAGGGATATTATATATATGGACAATAACGAACATAGTGAAGATCTCGTTCGTGTATCTACACACAATACTAAATTTTGTCGAAATTCTTATATTCTAGAATTACATAATACTGTTAATTTCACATTTAATAACCGTTCTTGTCGACGTTCGTTAATGTGTCTGCATATTTTAAAATACAAAAATCGAAATGGTACGGTGTTTAAAATTTCAACCGCAGAAAATTATGTGTTTCATTAATGTGGTAAGAGTGTAATTTTGCACTGATGACGTAGGGGGTAACCTTCATAATTTGACAGTGCAGAACAACTTACACTGATCTCGGAGAACGATCTGGACTACCGCCCCTAGCGGAATGTACCTCAAGTGCAAACAGTGGCAGTTCTTTCTGTTGCAATACGGAGCTCCATCAGACGTGAATGGACATAACTCTTCAGTGGGAATATCCTCCAGTTGGCTGAGGATCGGTGCTGATGGAAGGATGCTTGAAATGTTGTTAATTTCGCCCGCCAGACGTCGTTCCTTGCGAGCAGGTTCTGGGAAGATAAAGCATCAATAAAATTAGTTTGTACTGTATATGCGTAGGCCTTGAAGCTTTCAGGGAGGTGAAGGTTCATTTTCCCGTCTTCCAGGTATGACACTGCATGGTCGGTGTTACCAGCATTCGGAGGAACATAAGCATATCTTCAGGGTAGAAGTGAACCTGAAACTTAAGCAGTGTATTCCTTCGAAATAATAGTAACCACGTAATACACGGTGTTTTACTTTAGTTTAGTTTGGTTTATAAGGCGGTGTCATAACTCAGAAGACCTCAGTATAAATTATTTTGCAATTGCTTTGACAACTTTCAAGTTTAGCAGAATTCCTCAAAACAAACGAACGACCCATCAATAGGACACGCGACAATACATTTTTATGTTAATAATAATGAATAGAAATTAAATGTAATATTAGCCTATATGCCTATATATAGGGTTTTTCTATTTATAAGCATCAGGCTTAATTCATTTCAATTGATATGTAATACTTAATAAGGTTCTGTAAAATGTATAAACATGTATTCCAATGGAACAGAAATATTTTTCAAACGATTTTTTGAGATATCATTAAACTCGATGGCCGGTATGGCACACTAAAATGTATTGTTATGAAGCTGTTGAAATTACTGTTTTGTTATTTATTCAAAATACTGAAAAACAATGAACTCAGATATTGTAGAGATTAAAGAGATCGACATTATGCATACTCCAGTATTTGTGAAGGTCATCTTCAGCATCATATACCATTTCTTTTATGTTTTCTTCTAGGCCTATACCCCACAGTACCAAATTTAGTCAAGATACGTGTATATTTAGTGGTTTTGGAGATAAAACATGCAGACAGACATGGTCTCAATATGATATGTTAGTTTCAATCAGTTTGTGCAAGGAAATAATTAAAATCGAAATGAAATAGGATGGAATCTAGAGCGTTATGGAACAGAGTTTATTATTTATTATTATTATTGCTAGTGGTGTGGGACTAAGCCCCTTGCACTGCGGCCACTTCTGGCCTATTGTACCAGCCCCAGATGATAGGTGAGGGTGATTGTGGAGCAATTGGTGGAATGAAGATTGGCAGGGGAAACCGAAGTACTCGGAGAAAACCTGCCACAGTGCCATTTTGTCCACCACAAATCCCACTTGACCAGACCCGGGATCGAACCCGGGCCACCGCGGTGGGAAGCCAGCGACTAACCGCTTGAACAATGGCGCGGCATGGAATAGAGATTAGAACCTCTTCTTACGCTGAAATCTGTCGTAGGTTCCGGAGCTGAATAGTTCAGCGGAAGTGTAATAGCGCATGTCGAACTTGAGGACCAGGTCCAGGTCAGGTACAGGCTTCAGGATGTCTTTATGTAAGGGCGCCGATCCCGTCAACTGGTGAATGCAAATCCCGTGTTGTCCCGGGCCACACGTGGCGTTCTCAGCATTCAGTGACTGACAAAGAAAAGCGAACAGCACATTTCATCGGTTTCCACGTAAAGTCAACGCAACGTTATTCCCAGAACATAACAGAATTCAATGCTTTTTATGGTTTATTTTAGAATTCTGTCACGTGTCCGGGGTTCCGTGACTAATAGTAACGGGTTCTGGATTAGATTATTGGATTTATTAACACTTATTTTGCAATCACTCTTATTCACAATCAATCTACAACGGCTCACAATGAATCTTTAGCCGAACCCTTGACTGCGGAGGACTCGCTCCATTCTCATTCTCGTTGCACGACTCTTTTGAACTCGCTGCTCAAGTCAAAGTCACATTGCGACTGACGGTCAGTCAGTCAGTAAGTCTTGGTGTCGAGCACCATCTGGGGCCCAAGACCAGATATATATTACTGTTCGACAGTTACGGTCTTGTTTTTGTGGGGCGTCATGTCTGACGAGAGGACAGGTTTGTCTTTTGTATATACTGATGGCCCTCGCCCACGGTCATTCTCGGGTCTGAGTCCCGTANTAAGTCTTGGTGTCGAGCACCATCTGGGGCCCAAGACCAGATATATTACTGTTCGACAGTTACGGTCTTGTTTTTGTGGGGCGTCCTGTCTGACGAGAGGACAGGTTTGTCTTTTGTATATACTGATGGCCCTCGCCCACGGTCATTCTCGGGTCTGAGTCCCGTAGGACTCGTGACCATATTTTACTGTTTCAGATTTGAGACTTCCCTTTTCGTCGCCTCCTACAACTCGCAGGGTCACGGTGGAGGTATTCCACCCCGCCTCGACACGGGTACTCACTGCTTAAGTCAAAGTCAAAGTCAATTCCGCGTTATATAACCTCACGTAAAACACCATCTCTCAACAATTCGTAGGGATGTTTACCGCTCCGTTGCCTAAAACTGGACGTCATATTGTTCCACGATACGTTTCTTCGCGAACGTGTTTAGCCACCCGTTGCTTAGCAATGGGAATGGTGCCGACCACATAGAAAACAATTCTTGTTGCCTAGAAATTGTTCTACATGTCACAAGAAATGGTTCTACATGTCACAATATATATTATCCCATATAGCGTCGAATGTTAGGATGAATCATGACTTGGAAATGATTCGGAAGGAAGTGGTCGTGGCCCAATCGAGGTACTATCCTGTCATTTCCCTGGAGGGACCGAGAAGGCCTACGAAAAATCTGTCAAGTTAGCTAGTGTCCCTGCCGAGATGCCAACTGATCACCTCCGAGTACAAGTCTACAGCGTTACCGCTACACTCTCTTATACGACAGAATTAAGTGATGAAATGAATGAACAGTGCGGTGAAGGTTATCGAAAGAATTTAATTTTGGTTCATATTTTACGTAAATTTCAAATAGAAATGCATTTATTAAGTTTCTAAAGAACACATTATCGGAACAGGTATACGTCATGAAGCATATACATGTTAATATACCCACACCTGACTAGTAGCTCCATTTTGTTATTTTAATGCCGAAGTTTCAATCATGGCAAGAAACGCAAAAAAAAAAAAAAAAGTTTGTTCGCTCAGTGAAAAGTTGAGCGTTCTTTGTACTATTAAAGGAGAGGTCGTTTAATGGCACAAAGAGGAGGGCTTGTTTGCAAGTTCCAAAGTTTCAGAGAGTTATTTTTAATTTTCGCTGTGTCGTTATTCTTATTATGGCATATTTGTCCAGAGAAACCGCCAATGCAACGCATCGGCTGTGTAACAAGAAACAATACCAGATCCATCGCTGAACAACGTACAGACAACAATTGAATAACTGTTGAAAGCGGTGTTTTCTATGCAGTCTGTGCCAATAGTGACTTCATACAACAAAGAAATAACTCTTGGAAGCTGTATTTTCTAGGGTCAGTGCCGAGGCTACCTAAGGAGTCAGTCTGGCGGTGGTGAAGCTTGCGACCGCTCAAGTGACTAAGCTGCAGTTGTAGAATAAGACACGTAAGATAGGCATGATCTGCTCTGTAAAGCCTGTACTGACAGAGGACTTTTATATAGTGCAAAAGGAAGAATTTAGTATGCTCCCATCTTCCGAATGGCCTTTGTGTATCCCTTTGGTTTGTGAGGAAGCACAAGTCCATTGTTACGTACAGCATTCAAATTACTTCTTGCGTTTCTTAACCAACTAACTCCATGGAGCGGAGTTATTCTTCAGAAAATGATAATCTCACAGATGGTCAAGACATTATCCGCCTTTTATGAAATCCAAATGTTTATCACAGAAGCCCGTCACCGGGTCCTATTCTGAGTTTCTCGATTCCATTCCACACCCCCACACACAGTTTCCTTCAGGCCCGTTTTTAGCCTACTTCCCTAATTTTGAAAAAATTTGAAGGAAGGTTATGAGATCACTTTGTTGTCTGTGTGTTTGTGCATCTCACTTGTCGTCTCTAGGCAACGGCTCGTTAAACACGTTCCTGCAACAACGAATACACACCCAGCAATAGAAGAATTTTTGGACCCGTTTCTTTCTTTACGGTCCGTGTCGTATCAAAGGAAAATAGGCGATTATTTCTTCCAAGAACTTCTTGTAGTATTTTACTTTTATCTACGCCTGGGTGTTCCAGACGCTCTCTTCCCTTCAAGTCTTGCGATAAAAATGTTCGTATACGTTTTCATGCGTGCTTCATAGTCTGCCCATCTCATCCTGAATGTGGTCAGTCTAATAATATGTGGTGAAAAGCACAAATTCAAACTTTCGATATTTGCAGTACCTTGCTCTGGGGAAGGTATGGCATTTTCACCGGAGGGTTGTTGGGTTCCTGGACGCTGGAGCCCTCGTACAGCAGCACTGCCAGCTGCTGGACGTCCACCCAGGAGCACTGTGCCAGGCCTTGAACGCGGATCCAATATGGGCCGACTGGTTGTGAAGTGGCCACCACTACGTCGACTCTCATTCCTGAAATCAGTACTCCTAGAATACGTACGTGTACATTGCAGCAGAACCAGTTAGTGACACACTTCTAAGCGCGACTTTACATCGAACGCTGCAGACATTAGCAGACATTCAACTATTTGCATACAATTTGCTTTCTCTATTAACACAATGTGTTTCGTCCACAAACGGCCATCCTCAGGTCTCCCATTATGCCAAACCTGCCTGCTACACTGCACTGAGTAATGTCCATTCCATACGCGCGTAACTGAACATTTCGTAATTAAAATCTTGCGATTGCACTCAACTGTTGTGTGTTAAATCTTATATGTTACAGTTCATTTAATTAAAAATCGGTTAAGAATCGTTACAATTTTTAATAATATAATAAATTATATATACCGTCTGCACACGCGAAGACAGCGCCATACGCGGCTTGCGGATACAACGGACAAAAGAGGGGCACAATTGCAGACAAAACATAAGAACGGTTTTTCCGCTGAGAAGTAAACAACCATGGAGGATATATTGCCTAGACAAGTGAACGACACCCCCTATGAATTGAAATTAGGCGTTTTATATAATAGAAAACTGTAACGATATTTAATCAATTTTAAATGGTATAAACTGTAATATATAAAATTTAACGCACAATAGTTGAGTGCAATCTAACATTTTAATTACGAAATTATAAGTTACGCGCGTGTGGAATACACAATGCTCAGTGCAGTGTAGCAGAACTGACAAAATATGACACTTGAAAATGGCCATTTGGGGCCGAAACAAGTTCTGTTAATAGCGAAAACAAATGTGGAAATAAACAGTTGCATTACTGACGGAAAATTATATGTAAACAGTTGAATATAATAATGCGGAGGATGCTTAAATATAAGATTAGCAGACATTGTTGATAATGTGCGCGAAGCGTGTCGTTATGTAGTTCTCAGGACTGACACATGCTTTTCACTACAGCGGCAGTTCTCAGGCCAGTACTCCACATGTGCATATTATAATTTGTATGTTTATGTCACGGAAAACTAATGTGCAGAGATAAAGAAAAGCTATTTCACGGCCGTTGCACTCTAGATGTGATAAGTGAACAGTTAAATTTCCAACTTTAGCCATGGGAGCTCCGAATATTTGACCTTACTTTATGTCATAAACTGTAAACATGCTAATACATAGTTATTCTAAATTATTGTCTGTGTTTCCTTGGCCTCCCACATTGCTTTCCGTCGAACAGTCGTCATTTTGAAGGTATGACACCATATTTCCTCACAGATATCAATCAGGCGAGTATTGCATTGTTAAGTAAAACTTTTGAGTTACATGTTCATATTCCATAAGCAGTTTTATTTTGTTGCTTCTATTTTAAAAATTATAGGCCACGGAAACCCCAACAGTAATTTAGAATCACACTCGACCTTCCCTTCAATGAAATGTGACAGTTGAGTATTAGTCACTGGGAGTCTCAAGAATTTATCAATGGACAACTCTTCTATGACTGACATAAGTGGATGAGAAGAGACACAGTTTCTTGTTAAGACAGCGGTTTTCTTGAAGTCTGCATGGTATCATATTCAGACGAAAGTTATCATAATATTCATAAAACTGTGAACATCAGATGTCATATAGACTTTCGCATAAGCCACAGAATCTTAAGAAAATGTTGGTTTGTTTCAATTATAATTCAGTTGCCTCCAAAAGTATGTTTATGGAAAGTCCTTTCCAAATTATAATTCGGAATACGGTAAAAAAAATAGTATGCGTCAAATTATTAAGATACTACGATTCAATTACGAGGGAAGTATTGTACAATATTCTGATAGAGTTTTGGATACCCATGAAACTAGTTAGTTGATTAAAATGTGTTTAAACGAAACGTATAGTAAATTCCGTGTAGGTAAACATTTGTCTGATAAATTTCCAATCCAGAATGGTCTAAAACAAGGTGATGCTTTACCGCCACTCCTTTTCAACTTTGCTTCAGAATATGCCATTAGGAAGGTCCAGGGAAACCAGGTGGGACTGAAATTAAACGGGACACATCAGCTGTTGGCCTAGGCCGATGATGTGAATCTACTGGGTGATAATGTAGATACCACAAAGAAAAACTTTAATTGACGCAAGTAAAGAGGTCGGTCTAGAAGTAAACACAGAGAAAGCTCAGTATATGTTGCTGTCTCGTCACCAAAATGCAGGGCAAAATCATGACATAAAGATAGGAAACATGTTTTGAAAATGTGGCACAA